AGGACATTGGGGGGATTGGGGACTTTGGGGACATTGGGGACATTTGGGGACCTTGGGGACATTTGGGACATTGGGGACATTTGGGACATGGGGACACTGGGGACATTGGGGACATTTGGGACATTGGGTACATTGGGGACATTGGGGACACTTGGGGACACTCACAGGAACAGGAGCCCCCGGAGCCCCCTGAGAGCCGCGGGGGGGAGGGAGCGGAGCTGGGAGTCCTCCAGGAACCTGCCCAGTACGGACCAGTATGGACCAGTTACAGACCAGTACAGACCAGCATGGACCAGTTAGAGACCATTACAGACCAGTTACAGACCAGTATGGACCAGTTAGAGACCAATATAAACCAGTATAAACCAGTACAAACCAATATAACCAGTCCCTCCCAGTTTGTCCCAGTCCCTCCCAGTACAAACCAGTTGAAATTAGTCCAAACCAGTATCCCCAGTCCAAACCAGTCCGTCCCAGTCCTCCCTGTATAAACCAGTCCAAATCAGTATCCCCAGTACACTCACAGCTACTCCAGTGCCCCCAGCCCCATTCCCAGTACAAACCAGTCCAAACCAGTATAAGCAGTCCAAACCAGTCCAAACCAGTATAAGCAGTCCAAACCAGTATAAACCAGTATAACTCACAGATACTCCAGTGCCCCCAGCCCCATTACCTGTATAAACCAGTCCAAACCAATATAACCAGTACAAACCAGTCCAAACCAGTCCTTCCCAGTCCAAACCAGTCCAAACCAGTTTGACTCACAGGTACTCGAGCACCCCTAGCCCCTCGAAGGCTCCATCCCCGACGCTCCCCAGGCGTCCCGAGGCCACCAGGCTGGGCAGGGACAGAGGGACAGAGGGACATGGGGACATCGAGGGGACATTGGGGACACTGGGGGGGTTGGGAACATTGGGGGAGTTGGGGGCATTGGGGGGATTGGGGGGTTGGGGGCATTGGGGGACATTGGGGACATTTGGGACAATTTGGGGACATTTGGGACAATTTTGGGACATTGTGGGACAATTTTGGGACATTTTTGGGAGATTTTTGGGTCAAATTTGGGGACAATTCTGGGACATTTGACGACATTTTAGGGACAATTTTGGGGTCAATTTAGGGAAATTTGGGACATTTTGGGGTCAGCTCTAGGGACAATTTTGGGACATTTGGGGACAATTCTGGGACATTTTTGGGCGATTTTCAGGTCAATTTTGGTGACAATTTGGGACAATTTGGGACATTTTTAGGACATCTGGGGCAATTTTGCGGACATTTTTGGGACCTTTCGTGGCAATTTTGGGACAATTTGGGTCATTTTGGGGTCAACTCCAGGACAACTGGGGACATTTGGGGACATTTGATGACATTTTGGGGGAAATTTGGGACAATTCTGGGACATTTTTGGGAGATTTTTGGGTCAATTTTGGGGACATTTGGGGACAACTTTGGGACAATTTAGCTCATCTTGGGGTCAACTCTGGGGACAATCTGGGGACATTTTGGGGACAATTTTGGGACAATTTGGGACAATTTGTGGCAATTTTGGGACACTTGGGGGCATTTGGAGACATTTAGGGAGAATTTGGGACATTTTAGGGACATTTGGGGACGTTTGAGGAAAAATTGGAACTTTGGGGGAAATTTGGGGACAATTTGGGGACGTTCAGGGACAATTCTGGGACATTTTGGGGTCAACTCCAGGGACATTTTTGGACATTTTGGAACAATTTGGGAGATTTTGGGAGATTTTGGGGTCAATTAGGGGGAAATTTTGAGGCATTTTGGGGACAATTTGGGGACATTTGAGGCAATTTGGGGACACTTTAGGGACAATTTTGGGGTCAATTTGGGTTGAATTTGGGACATTTTGGGAACAATTTTGGAACATTTGGGGACATTTTTGGGTGATTTTTGGGTCAATTTTGGAGACAATTCTGGGACATTTGACAACACTTTAGGGACATTTTTTGGGGTCAATTTGGGGAAAATTTGGGACATTTTGGGGACATTGGGGACATTTGAGGAAAAATCGGAATTTTGGGGACAATTTTGGGATAATTTGGGGTATTTGGGGGGATTTTGGGATATTTTTGGACATTTAGGATATTTGGGGGGATTTTTGGGGGGATTTTGTGGGTTTTTTTGTTCTTTTTGGGGGATTTTTTTGTGTTTTGGGGATTTTGGGGCTATTTTGGGACATTTTGGGGGGTTTTGGGGATATTTTGGGACATTTTGGGAGTTTTGGGGGATATTTTTGGGGATTTTGGGCTCATTTGGGGCAGTTTGAGTTGGTTTTGGGTGATTTGGGGGATTTTGGGGTGATTTGGGGACATTTTTGGGACATTTTGGGGGTTTTGGGGTGATTTTTTTGGGGATATTTTGGGACATTTTGGGTTGTTTTTGGGGTGACGTTTTTGAGATATTTTGGGGTGTTTGGAGGGATTTGGGGACATTTTGGGACATTTGGGGGTGATTTGGGTAGATTTTGGGATGCTTTTGGGGCATTTTGGGGTGGTTTGTGGTTGTTTTTTGGGGCATTTGGGGATATTTTGGGGATTTGGGGTATTTTGGGATATTTTGGGATATTTGGGGGGATTTGGGGGTTTTTTGGTTGTTTTGGGGATTTTGGGGGATATTTTCGGATGGTTTTGGGGTGATTTTTGAGGTGTTTTTAGGATATTTTGGGGTATTTTTGGGGTGACTTTTTTGGGGACATTTTGGGATGTTTTTGGGGTGATTTGGGGATATTTTGGGATGTTTTTGGGGTGACTTTTTTGGGGACATTTTGGGATGTTTTGGGGATTTTGGGGTGCTTTTGGGCCATTTTGGGATGTTTTTGGGGTGATTTTTTTTGAACACTTTGGGATGTTTTTGGGGGATATTTTGGGGTTTTTTGGGGGGATTTGAGGCCATTTTAGGGCTATTGGGGACTCACAGCAGCGTCAGCGCCGGGAGGTGCCGGAAGCTTCCCTGGGGCAGCTCCTCGATGTCCCAGCGGAGCAGTGAGCTGGGAAAAATGGGAAAAATGGGAAAATTGGGGAAAACCAGGAAAACTGGTGAAAAACAGGAAAGACGGGAAAATCGGGGAAATTGGGGGGAAATGGGAAAAATGGGAAAATTAGGGAAAACCAGGAAAATTGGGGAAAAACAGGAAAAACGGGAAAATTGGGAAAATTGGGGGAAAAACGGGAAAACTGGGGGGAAAATGGGAAAACTGGGGGAAAACCGGGAGAAATGGGAAAAAATTGGGGGGAAAAACCGGGAAAACTGGAAAGTTGGGAAAATTGGGGGGAAATGGGAAAAGTGGGGGAATTTGGGGGAATTTTGAGGAATTTTGGGGGAATTTGGGGAAAAATTGGGGGAAATTTTTGGGGAAAATTGGGAGAATTTTGGTGGGAAATTGGGGGAATTTCGGGGAATTTGGGGAAATTTTAAGAAATTTTGGGGAAATTTAAGGAAATTTGGAGGGAAATGGGAAAATTGGGGGAAATTTCAGGGAAATTTGGGGAATTTGAGGGGAAATTTGGGGAATTTTGGGGGAAATGGAAGAATTGGGGGAATTTGGGGAAATTGGGGAAATTTCGGGGAATTTTGGGGGGAATTTTGGGGGAAATTGGAATATTGGGGGAATTTTGGGAGGGGAAATGGGGATTGTTGGGAGAATTTCGGGGGAAATTTGGGGGAAATGGGAGAATGGGGAATTTGGGAAATTTCCAGGGAATTTTTTGGGGGGGGGGTCCCAAATTTGGGGGATTTTGGGGTTTGGGGGTCCCAAATTCGGGGGGATTTTTGGGGATTTTGGGTCCCAATTTAGGGGCCCATGGGGTTTTGGGGTCCCAAATTTGGAGGATTTTGGTGTTTGGGGGTTCCCCAATTTGGGGGAATTTGGGTTCCCAAATTTGGGGCATTTTTGGGGGTCCCGAGGAGGTTTCGGGGTCCCAAATTTGGAGGATTTTGGGGGCTTCAGAGGAATTTTTGGGGTTCCAAATTTGAGGGATTTTGGGTTTTGGGGGCTTCCAAATTTGGGGGATTTTGGGGGGTCCCGGGCAAGATTTTGGGGGGTCCTGGGGGATTTTGGGTTTCCAAATTTGGGGGATTTTGGGGGGTTCCGGGCGGGATTTTGGGGTTCCCAAATTTGGAGGATTTTGGGGGGTTCTGGGTGGGATTTTGGGGTTGCAAATTTGGAGGATTTTGGGGGGTGCCGGGCGAGATTTTCGGGGGTCCTGAGGGATTTTAGGGGCTCCCGGTCAGGATTCTGGGAGGTCCAGGGGGATTTTGGTGTTCCAAATTTGAAGAATTTTGGGGGGTCTAGGGAGATTTTGGGGGTTCCAAATTTGGGGGATTTTGGGGGGTTCCGGGCGGGATTTTGGGGTTCCAAATTTGGAGGATTTTGGGGGTTCAGAGGAATTTTTGGGGT